GCTTAACTTTAAGCGCTTTAAAGTTAAAGTAAGTAAATCTTTTCTTATTTTAGGTTTACTTTTAAATAATTAAAGTTTAATAATAACTTCTTATAAACCTCTTTAACCTTTTATAAGGCGCTAATAAATTTCTTATTTATTTAAGGTTTTCCTTTATAAAAAGAGTATATAAGCTTAATAATCTTTTAAGGTAAAGCTTTTATAATATACTTTTAAAGAGTAATATTAAATATTTAAATTAATTTATTAAGATCTATTAAGAACGTTAAGAATTAAGTAATATTATTATTATATTTAAGCTTCTTAAGCTTTCTTAAGTTTCTTACTTTCTTTAATATATTCTTAAACCTTAATTAAATAGCCTAAGAGAAATTATTTCACGTATTTAAACCTTTTAAGCTTTTTAATTATCTTTCTCTTTATTAATACTAGATCTTAGCTTAATTTAAGAGAAGTAAGTTAACTTAATTAATCTTAACCTAATCTATTAAAAAGCTTTTCATGTAAAAGTTAATATAAATAATAATAGTCTTTTATTAAAAGTAAAACTTATTAGTATTTTAGCTATTAAAGTTTAATAGTTTATTCTAGTATAAAGAATTAACTTATTTAGTTAATTTAAATTAATTAATAAGCTAAGCTAATAAATTTAATTATAATAGTAGTTTATCCTATAGTTCTAAGGGTATTCTTAGGTTATTTAAAGGTTCTAGTAAATAGCAGTGCTTAAATTTAAAAAGGCTACTTAAGTAGAATATAATACCTTAATTAATTAAGAGACCTTTTAACCTATTTAACTTAATTAAATAAAACGGTTATATTACTTATTACTATTAACTTAAGTGTTTAAATATAAATATAATAAATACGAATTTATTAATAAATTTAGGGCCCGTTTATACGTATAAGGTAACCTTTAATTACCTAATAATAAAAAGACTTATACTATAACCTTAAATAAAAGGTTATTTTAAACCCTAATAGCTATTATAGTTAAATTTAACCTTAAAGCTAGGTAATTTACCGTGGTAAACGCCTTTATAAATAGCCTAATTAATAAAGAAGTTTACGTTAAATTTCCTAAAGGTCTTAAAAGGCTCGGTTAAATAATAAGGCTATTATAAGCCTTATATAAGCTATAAAGGTTAGCCTTATTATAGTAATAGTCTCTTAGTAAGACCTTTAAGCTATTAGGTTTAATACCTTACCTAAAAGACCCTTATATCTTTAATAGCTTAATATTAACGGTCTTTTTTTACGTTAATAATATCGTTTTTTTATACTATTAGGTAGCTTTGAAAGCTACTAACTAAATAAACTGAAAGCTTAAATTAACCTATAATATAAAGAATCTTAGCGAGCTATAATAGTTTCTAGGTATTTAAATCCTTTAAGATAAAGCTACTTATAAGCTTTAGCTATATTAAGATTCTTATATTAAAAAACTAGCTATGAAATTTAATGTTTCTAAGAGAGATAGCTTTAAAGAAAGTCTAATACCTAGAAATTAATTAGAACCTAATTTAAGTATTATAACTATTAATTAAATTTATTAATATTAGTAGATAATTAGCTCTATTAATTATATTACGGTTATTAGAAGACCTAATATAGCTAAACTAATAGCTAAGCTAGCTAAATTCCTCCCTAATCCGTTAAAAACCCACTAATAGATTACTAATTAAGTTATTAAGTATTTATATTTAACGTGATACCTAGTAATTAAATTCAATGAAAATCCTAATAACCTAAAGCTTTAAATAGCTTTTAATATCGCCTTTATAAACGATTAACAGACCTAAAAGTTATTATAAGGCTTAATAATTCGACTATTTAATAGACCTATTAGTTAAATAGCTAATAAGTAAGATATAATTATAATATCGTCTATTAAAGCCGAATTATTAGCTTTTATACATATAGCTAAACTAATACTACCTTTATAAACGACTAATAAACTTAAAAGTTATTTTAAGGCTTAATAATTTGATTATTTAATAGACCTATTAGTTAAATAGCTAGTAAGTAAGATATAATTATAATATTATTTACTAAAGCTAAATTATCAGCTTTTATATATATAATTAAAGAGATTATTATAATATTTAAGCTTTTTTAATAGCTAAACCTATAATTAAATCGTTTAAAGCTTATAATATAATGTAATAATTTACAGATAATTTAACTTATTAATAGTAATCTTTTAAGGCTTAAGGTTACTCTTTATTATATTAATATTTATAATAGCTAAATTTAATAAGCCTATTAATAAGAGACCTTTAATATTAAATTCGTTTAAAGCGCTAATAATCTAGCTAATAAATTAATAAAAATTCTAATAAGCTAATAATTTAACCGCTTTATTAAGTAATTAAAGCTTATTAATATTATTAGTATTATTAAAAGAGCTTAAATTAATTAATTTAGCTTACCTTAATAGCTATTAATAGCTTTAATAGCTAGCTATTAACCTAATTTATAGGGGTATATTAACGTTAAAGGCCTCTTTTAATAGAAAATAGCTATTATTTATTAGGGACTCTAATAAGCCCTAAAACGCCTTAAATAATTACTTTTTAATTATATAAAAAGCCTTAAAAAAAGGCTTATACTACCACCCTATTAAAGCTAAATCTTTAATAATTAAATATTATAAAACCTCTTAAATTAATTACTTTTTAAGTAACCTATTAAATAACCTTAATATCTATAAATAAGAGCCTGTTTTCCGTACCTAGATAGCTTTAATCCCAAGGATAATTCCACTATTTAATCTGCTTCCATAGCTGTTAACGTAATAACTACACATATTAATGGCTATCGGAATCTTCTTTTAACACGATAGGGTTCCGAACCGGACCACGGCAGGATGTAGCTTACCTCCACTTTTGCGGCCTTTCTCCTTATTCACCGTTTCCAGGAATTTTCCCAGTTGGGCCCTGGCCTTGGATGCCCCTTCTTTTTGCCACCGATGCTCGTCTAGCACTTGAAAGGCATGCGCCACGGCCTGCCCTTAAGAGCCGGCACCGTCCTCCAGACCGACTCCTAGTTCAGGCACTAGAGTGGAAGCAATAATGACCGTTGCAGCAGACAGTGTCACATATACTGCGATCGAGCTGAAAATTCGGCAACACAACTGCAGATTTTCGTCAAGTGTTTCAATCGCCAACAGCGCTGCTTGGACACATATAGTTGACACCTCGATGCCCGGGGTGGCTTCAGTACGCGATGGAGGCGGATGAAACGTTGGTGCCAGAATTCTTCGACGAGCCGTGGCCAACATGTTGGGCCGGAGGAGGATGAGGCGGGTGTGAAGGATTCTGTGCGCGTGTTAGATGCTGAATCCTCGTTGATTAGCTGAAAGGAGCGAAAGTCAGTGTCAACCTGATTTTGACTGTCACTGCCTGCGGGCTTAATGCTCGACCACGGCGTGTACTTTGCTTTTCGTGGTTTCCATATACCAGGTGAGCTTCGATTTGGCCGAGCTCCTCCTTCAGCTGCAAGACTTGAGTAAGTTCAGGTAAACAAAGCGCACGGGCAAAATAACCGTCATTGATGTCTGGAGCTTGATGTAATCCTTCGACTATCTTGATAGTCATGATGAAGGAGTTAAGGAGTGAAGGTGTGGCGGTTGGCTGGACGCCCTCTCCGTCTTCCAGAAGATACTCATCATCAATGACACTGGGAAGTGGGACTTTGGCGTCGAGTTTAGTTAGGGTCTTCCATCCGAATAGACTTGACAATAACCTATCCATTCAGATGCGGCTCGACGTTGGAGTTGTTGATGCAACCCAAAGCAAAAGACGATATTGAGCGTTGCATAAAAGGTCGCTTCTGTGGCCAAGGTCTCAAACGAGCTCGGCCTCCCTGGTTCCCAAAGGCACATGTAGCTTGTTCTAAAACTGGGAACATGTAGAATAGGAAAAAGGGGGTATACAAATCGCTCATAGCAGTCAATTAAGTCGTCTTCGGTAGCTCTTTTAGGGATCACCATTGACGAGGTGTCTGTCTCGACAAGCTACGCGCCGCTGCTGGGCCGGATTGACGCCTGATCCAGAGATGAAGTTGATTGGAGGTTGGTTAGTTGTGTCATGTTGGAAAGAAACTGCGTCGTTGGATTGTCTGCAAATGTCGAGTTATTTTCTCGGCCTTGGTCTTCTGCTGTGTTGCGCGGACTTTGCCAGAGGGGATGCGGCGCCGGCTGGCATGGACCGTCTGGTTGAGTAAGTCGAGTTGCTACGTGGACAGTCTTCATGGAGAGGTGATGAGGAAGAACATACACAGCTGGTGAATTTGGCACATGCGTCGAGGTCACTGTAGATTGATGCTCTAGATGCTGCAAGCGGGCCTCAATATCCGCCCATGTGTTGAATGATACTGGGACGGTAATATCATCGTATTTACACGCAGCACCCTTTGCCGCGCATGGGGAATAGACCGGACGCTGGCCATCGCACTGAGTCTTCTTGGCTCTGCATATCTTGCATGATTCGCGAACCCTGCGGCGCTTAGATGGCTGAGGACCATGCTCATTGTCCTGTACCATGCCGCAGACTACCAGGAAAAATGAAGCGCTCCAGTCGATGCCTCGGCATACACCTGAGGCTCGGAAGATTGCGCGGTCAGCGACGTCACCGATGGACCTGGTCACTCCGGCAGTTCATTCATGCATGGGCAGATCGGAATGCGCCGCGAAACCTCACAGCTGCCGATCGGGTTGTTCCCAGCTTTCACTAGCGCCCAGTGCCTGCTTGCAGAAATTGCCGGTGAAGTGAGACAGAGCCTTGGGGCACAACTGTAAACGTCAAGGTCGATAAGGGTATCTACGGAGAAGTATATAAACCGAATTTGCATCATGTCATTGCCAATGACTTGTCCCACAAGAGCCAGGAGACAGATCAATCAATTGACCTCTCGAGTCTCTTCGGCGACCCAAAAACTTATAACCTCACAGTTTCTCCCTACTTCCATAACTCACCAAGACAGTCACACCCTTCAACATGTTCGCTATCCCTAAAGTTGATGTCTATTATCATGGTATGCCTCCTTAGCTTCGCGGTTTGTTCCCTGCCAACGCCCTAATATCTGACGACTTGACTAATATCTGTGTTTAAAGGTGTGGACGAGGGACTGAAGGAGATGAAAGTCCCTGACTGGAGTATCTCGAGCGACGAGGCCTTCAGCAAGTCCATGGGTGTGCATTCTTTAATTGTTCTCCGTTAGCACGCCAGGTGTTGCCTTCATCCCCGATCCAGAGGAGAGCGCCAAAGTCGCGCGAGCCATGAAGGAGTACAGCGCTTCGCTTCGTGACCGGAACCCTTCCAACGGGTTCTTTGCGACGGTCCCCTCTCTCGAGCGTACCGACCTTGTGCTTCGCGAGCTTCGCTATACTTTCGATACCCTGCACGCCGACGGTGCGACCTTGTTTGCCAGTTATGCCACCCCGGGGGGTTACTTGGGCCACCCAGAGTATGTGCCCGATTGGGAGGAACTCAGCCGCCGTAAGGCTGTCGTGTTCGTCCATCCCATCAATCACAAGGACTCGGTTTTTGTGACGACACACTGCCGATGCCTGCCTTCGATTGGCCGCACGAGACGGGACGCACGGCCATGGACTTGATTCTCAAACGACGCCCGCAGCAGTTCCCCAATGTCAAGATCATATTGTCTCACGGCGGTGGTACGCTGGCGGCGTTGATCACGCGGGCTAGTATGATAGAGCTCCCTGAGTTTGGGGGCGCAATGAGCGCCGAGGACATCATATAGCCAGGCAAAAAGTGTAACAAGGGCTTGTATTCAAGGGCTTGAAGCAAAGGGGCTCAGTTCAATGACAATCTTGTATGGTGTCAAAGGTCCTTGGTTCCCTCAAGCCTTAAGGCAAGGTGAGACCGTCTTATATACATGAAAGGAACGGCCCATGCCTATTACGCCCCATAGCTCTCGTGATCTCTCTGTGTAACGAATAAGTCCTTTGTCGGTGAGGCCCCTTTATTGGGCTTCACGATCTGTTGGGCCTTTTCCTTGTAACCAAAAGCTTCTACTTTGACCTCGCACTTGCGGGAAGCAATGAAATGCTCCCGCTGATTCTGGGATTCGCGAAGGAAGGGCATCTTCTATTCGGCAGCGACTTTACGCCCCATAGCTCTCGTGATCTCTCTGTGTAACGAATAAGTCCTTTGTCGGTGAGGCCCCTTTATTGGGCTTCACGATCTGTTGGGCCTTTTCCTTGTAACCAAAAGCTTCTACTTTGACCTCGCACTTGCGGGAAGCAATGAAATGCTCCCGCTGATTCTGGGATTCGCGAAGGAAGGGCATCTTCTATTCGGCAGCGACTTTCCACACGCCACAGCCCCATTTAGCCAGAAGTTCACCAAATTCATTGACAAATTCCCCATGGACGATGATAAGGGAAAAGAGGTATACGGGACCGCGGAGAAATTGTTCCCAAGACTGAAAGGAAAGTTCGGGTCCTAAGACAGCAACCGCAGCGGCGGAGGCTATGCTTAGAATTAGCCATTAGTATGGCATGATGTCTTGCCAGTTCGTGAAATACAGACAAGACCCAGGAAGCACTGTTCTCCCCTCCATACGGGCGGGAACTGTCGCTGCTCTTGGCGGTTGGTATAGCAAGGAATTAATAGACTGATCAGGTATAAGTGTGTATTAAGCCAGAAATAAGGACAGTAAGGTAGGTTTACTTACTGGTCTTGGTAGCTTTATAATAAGCATATGATACTCTAAGCTCGCGCGGCACTTGCTTGAAGTCAAGTTCTTTAATCTAGTCTATTTGAGTTTTTTTTCTAACACCCCTAATATTGTGAATACCCAACTAGGGTTAATAAATCACACAACTAGAGTGTAAAAACGGGTACTCGTAGGCACCTATAGGTATTTAAGTTTTTTTTAGGTTATTTATAGGTTGCTCGTTTTATTATATAAGTGGTTTAGGTATATTATAAGTAATTTAATATAAAGACTCTTTCTCTTATAAATTTATTTAAGTCTTTTTTTTTTACCTATACCTATTTAAAGCTCACGAGTAAGTAACTCACACGGGTACCCGTAGACCTTTTACACCCTACATATAATAGAATAAACCCCACGTGGAAAAGGCCAGATTCAGCAAGAAAAGGGACAGATTCATTAACAAATCAATTATATTTGCGTCATTTACATTTTACTTGTTTTCTTGCGCTTTTCACGACTCCGCTGGATCCAACAACTTGCCCGTCGAATCCACCGATTAACAGGTCGGGCCGTGGCTAGCAACAGACATTCCTTAAGGAAGACGCTAGCATGTGTATTAATAAAAGCCTGGACCTTTTATTTTAAGCATAGTTGAGCATGAGTCGTGTAAAATACTCAGCTAATTATAGAAGATGCGGCCCGCTAAAACAGGCTACTACTCCGGTGTGTATAATAATTTAGGGCATTAGTTATATTAATTACTATTCTTCTTCCTTATTTCTACCTAAAGTGTTCCTAGTAATATTACCTCTTATTTTCCTATGTAACGTAACTTAATTTACTTTTCTTTATAATAGGCTAAGAGAGAGGAAAGCTAGTATTAACCCTAATACTATACTAAGCTCTCTTTTAAAATCTATTATATATTACTCTCTTTAAGCTTTACTTATCTTAGGTTTTAATTAATTAAATTCTAGTAATTAAATCTTAATAGCTTTAATTATTTTAATTATAAGATAAATTATTTTAAGTTATTTACATGAACTTTTTATGGTAAACCTCTCTTTATTAATTTAATTTTATAGAATATTAAAGATACTATTATAATTACTTATAAAAGATTTTCTTATATCTTATAAAACTTCTCTTTTAGTTTATTCTTCTTATTTAATTTCTCTTAAATTAAATTATTTACGTGAAATAATTAAAGAATATTTCGTAAGCTTTTATTAATAATAGCTTTAGTTTTTTAAGTGTAAATATATTCTCTTCTCTTTTCCTAGAAATTAATTTATATTAGATTAGTTTCTTATATTAATTCTTTCTCTAATAATATTTCTTTATTTAAAATTAAGTCTTTTACTCTCTTATATTATAAGTATAGTTTAAATTCTAATATTACTATTATTAGGCTAGCTTTTATAATAGATATATATTTATTATTAAGGTTTATTATAATAATTTATAATATTTAA